TTTATATTTTGTCTGCTGCATTTTATGAAGTCCCTGGGAGCTTTCATACATTCGGGAGAACAACTGTTAACAGAGAAACATAGAATGCCACCCAGTTAGAAACCACAAAGCTGACACTGACACTGATGTTATGTTAAAAAAATCAAAAAAGCAAGGCAACAATGAACAATAACTTCCAGAACATTTTGGTACAAGGCAAATAGACATGGTCTAGAGGGACATGGTCTAGATCCAATAAAATAAATAAATAAATAAATAAATAAATAAATAAATAAATAAATAAATAAATAAACAAACAAACAAACAAACAAACAAACAAACGGGACTTCCAGGGGAGCAGATACGTTCACATTCCAAGGTTACCTTTTTCAATAAAGAACAAATTTGTTGCCTCACTGCTGGGGACTGGTTGTTCAAGTTGTATCTAATGAAAAATTGTATGAGCTGCATTTCCTCTTCGGAGATTATTTCAGTGCTTCGGTGGCTTTCGCACAATAAACCTAGAGCATCTATCCGCACCTTTAAACATTAAAAAAAAAACAAGGAATTTATAAAGTCAGATTTCCCATTGTGGTAACTATTTTACAATTAAGCAGGCAAAGACAGAGATATATAAACCTGTACCTGATCATGTTGCTGAACTAAACCTTGTTTTATACACCCAATGGACACAAGGCTGCCATGCATTATATCTGTAAATTGTAAATGTCCATGGGCTCTGGCTGTCCTCAGGCACGCCATCAAGGCTCCAAGTGCGCCCCTAGTATTGCAAGATCCTAAACAAAATATTTTTAAAGTCTCAGTTAGTACAATTAGTGTTAGTCCAAAAGCTTCTTGCAACTCTGTAAAACGTGACCACAAAATTCTTCCCATTCATAATTACTAAACTCCTGTCACAAATTCTGTGTGCATGAGAAACAGAAACAACAAATATAACATCATGGTATTTAAACATTAACTAATTTAGTCTGGCATACAGACACAAGAATGTTTAGAACACATTCATACATCTGGTGAAACACTTCCTTACCTAAGAAAGCTCATGACAGGTAGTCTTCAAAGTGCTATCCCTCTAAAACTGTATCATTTTCATGGGGGAAACTTGAAAATCAATACAGTACCGATATTCTGTACTTCTGCCAACATGATATCATGAAAATCAATACAGTACCGATATTCTGTATTTCTGCCAACATGATATCGTTTTGGAAGAGGCAGCCATGTTAGTGTGTGCAAGAATATCAGGCAAAATCCAAAGAAACAAAACATAACAAAGACAAAAAGCATGCGGCACCTTAAAGGCTAATTATTATATTTTAATGTAAGCTTTCATGGACACGTCCACTTTGTCATACATATGGAAACAGAATGAAATGTTGAATGGGTGTTTTGTTTCTTTGTATTCTTCCAAAATGTCTCTCTTCTTTGAAAGATGTATCTTTTCTGTTTTCTATATTGTAATAAGAATATGCACATGTCAAGTATTCAGTTTTTTTAAAAAATTATGTCACTGTGAACAGAATACTTGATTTTTAAGGCTGCTACAATTTCTCATTACTTCTAAGTTTCTACACCTTCTTATAATCAAATTATATTACAAGAAATACCCCAAATTATACAGCTTTATATTCTCTTTCTCTCAATGTTCAGCAGATTCCCAAGTAATGAAGCTGAACAGAATTGTATTCTATCAGCCACTCAGTATAAACCTTTCATTTAAAACTGTCCTTCTATAAGTAGTCAGAATTTGGGGGTGAGGGATAAATTGTGTAAAATTGAATAAAGCACATTAATACAATGCTTAAACATGGATACACTTTAAGTATGAGATATAAAGTCTTACCAACATTAGATTCTGCTGAAGTCTGAAGGATTTTAATCATATAGTTCAAGCTCTCTGGGCTACATTTCAACAACCTAGGTAAGTAGTAATCGGTGACATAGGTCGCTTGCTCTGGATTCCCGTCACACAAAATTAAAAGCAGAGGAGATACCCACATATCATGCCAAACATCAATCCAGATGTTTCCTTCCGAAATGGATGCAAGATACTTCTTGTGACTCAAAAACATGGTTTCCAATAAATCACTTGCATAAGGTGCAAAGGACTGATCATGCATAACACTTAAGATCTGTGTAGGAATTGTCCTGTCCATTGACAGAATATTTTCAATGCCAACACATTCCACAAGACAACCAAGCGATGAATATTTGCCTTTAACATGCCACTCTAAACTAAGCAACCTGTTTGTTAAACCCAAAAAGAATGGATCTAGTTTCACATCAACAGTTCCTTTCGTAACAGTCTGGTGTATTTGGAGGATGTTCTTAAATATGAGTTTGGTTTGGTGCCTAACAGCATCCAAAGGGTGCTCCCAATGTACATATACGTAGTCCAGCAGTTTTCCAGTTGCATCTGAGTTTCCATTAAGACTTGTCTTCAAACTTAAAGAACCTGACTGAAGAGCATCCAGTGCTGCATTAGTCCAAACAGCTAGACTTCTGGACAAGGACGCTGCCATAGCAGATTCTTTCAACCTTCAAGAGACAAACAGACTAGTATGAGGATCAAAAGTTATGCCAGCTTGGATCAAAGGTCTATCTAACCAGTTCCCTAGGAAATGCCCACAACAAAGGCTGGAGTACAACTGCCCTCTCTGTATGCTTTGAAGATGCAAGGGCTGGTCAAGACATGGACTCCTTGTCAGCTGAAGCTTTGTTTCTTGATTTCTATGATGGCCTTGTCCAGCATAGGTGAGAAAAGTGGAGAGGTATCTTTAACATATGATGAGAAACACAATTAGCAGCCATGCCATATTGCTTTAGCTGGAATTAGACAATTGTTTGTAGGTAAAGAACACACTCATTATATTGCACTGGAAAGCTTCCCAAGTAAAAATACTAAAAATACAGCTGGCTGGCAACAGAATAATCCATAATTTCTGCACTAATACATTTATAACTGTATATCTTACTGCTCCATTATTTGGGTTTTTTCCCTAAACATTCAGTGTCCAATTCTTATGGTATCTTATAGGACGCTCTTTTCAAGCAACACTTCCCAGGTACTGACAAAGATATGTTTCTGCTTTATTAAAGTTCAGATGACAGATTCATGTAAATGGTACATTGAAGTTCTCTCACTTGGTACCAAGGACAAATTTGGTACTGACAAAGATATGTTTCTGCTTTATGATGACAGATTCATGTAAATGGTACATTAAAGTTCTCTCACCTGGTACCAAGGACAATTTTTCTTAATTTATTTTTCATTTTTAAAAACTAGGGATAAGGTAAGGAGTACAAAAGGTAGAGGGGGATATGGGAGGGGGAACAGGGGGAAGTAGAACACAAAATGTACTGTCATCCAACCTGTTTGTTCAGATTGCAATATCAAGTTGACTTTTTGTCTTTCTACAATTTGATTGCCCTCCAGGTTTCAACTTACAGTTACATCTTAGTTTAATTCTATGTTATTCAAGCACTATCTGCTGACTCAAGCCATTTACATATATAATAAATCCCATCGTTCAGTTGCCTTTTGTATTGGACAGTCTTTCAACACTTCTGATAAAATATCCATTTCTGCCGCTTCCCTTAACTCCTCAATGAGTTCCTCTTGTTTCGATATCTCCAATTTCTTCCAGTTCTTAGCATAAAGAATTATGGCTGCAGTGACTATATATATAACTAGGTAGTTCTTTGTCTTATTTATATTATCTGGTATAATGCTCAGTAAAAACTATTCTGGGGTTAGTGGAGCATTACAAAGCAGAATTTTTTGTAACAGAGTACGTACTGCTATCCAATAGTGTTTCACTACTCTACAAGTCCACCACATATGGCAAAAGCTTCCCTCTTGTGTTTCAAACTTCCAACAAACATTTGAAATCATTTAGTCATCCAGTTGTGTCCGACCCCTCGTGACCCCATGGACCAGAGCACGCCAGGCCCTCCTATCCTCCACTGCCTCCCAGAGTTGTGTCAAACTCATATTGGTTGCTTCAATGACACTGTCCAGCCATTTCGTCTTCTGTCGTCCCCTTCTCCTCTTGCCCTCACACTTTCCTAACATCAAGGTCTTTTCCAAGGATTCTTCTCTTCTCATGAGATGGCCAAAGTATTGGAGCCTCAGCTTCAGGATCTGTCCTTCCAGTGAGCAATCAGGGTTGATTTCCTTTAGAATTGATAGGTTTGTTCTCTTTGCAGTCCAGGAGACTCTCAAGAGCCTCCTCCAGCACAATTCAAAGGCATCAATTCTTCGGCGGTCAGCTTTCTTTATGGTCCAGCTCTCACTTCCATACGTCACTACAGGAAAAACCATAGCTTTGACTATGCGGACTTTTGTTGGCAAGGTGATGTCTCTGCTTTTTA